GCGGGTGGCCCGGGGGCCGGTGGGGCTGCCCCGTCGGGGTTCTGCAGGGCTGTGATGTCGAAGGCCTCCGTGTCCTCCTCGCCGCCGCCCTCGTCGTCATAGGTGATGATGTTCTCGCGGACGTCCTCCTCCTCCAGCACCATCAAGGACTCCTGCTTCTGCCGCCGCAGAGCCACGAAGAGCACCACCAGGGCTGGGGCGAGAGACGCACACAGGCCACTGAGCCAGTGGGTGCCGGACACAGAGCGGCCTGTTTCCATTCTGAAGGGCAGATGGTTTAGGCCATATAGGAGGGAATGTTGCCAAGTGCTGACAAGCCTTAGGTTTGACATCTGACAAACCTGGGTTTGAATCCTGACTTTACCACTTACTAGCTGTGCAACAGTGGGAAGTTGCTTAACTTTTATGAACCCCTTTGATTCTGAGTGTACTCGTGTGGGAAACATTTACCTCTACGTGTGGTATTTTTGTCATAGCAGCACTAGGTAACTAAGACGCTGAGAGGGAACTGCCAGCTCCCTGAGCAGAGAACAGCTCTACCCAGGAGCCAGAATAAGGAAGAGTGGGGTCTGCTCTAACAGATACCTAAAATGTAGGCACAGTTTTGGAATTGCGTAATGGGTAGAGGCTGGAAGGGTTTTAAGGTGCCTAATAGTAAAAGCCCGGGAGCTCTGGTAGTGTAGTGCCTAAGGCATTTGACCACTAACCAGAAGGCTGGTGGTTCAAACCCACCAGCCACTCCTCAGAAGCAAGATTGGGCACTCTACTTCCATAGTGATACTGCCTTGGAAACCCAAGGAGGGGTTGCTATGAGTCAGATCGGACTCAACAGCAGTGAGTAATAAATAGTAAAAGCCTACATTGCCTTGAGGAGAATGTTGGTAGAATTATGGACATTAAAGGTAGTTCTGGTGAGGTCTCAGAAAGAAGTGATGAGAGTTATATAGAAAGTGTCATTTTAGAGAATATATATGGTGCCAGCAACAGAATGTTGCTAGAATCTTGACCTTAAATGTGCTTCTGTTGAGGCTTTAAAAGAAATGATGAACATATGATTGGACAATGGTGGAAGGGCAATGCTTTTTATGCAGTGGCAAAGAACTTGTCTGGCTTATGTTCAAATTTTTGGTGGAAGGTAGCACTTACAAGTAATGAACTTGTATATCTGGCTGATGAGATTTCTAAGCAAGATCTTAAAGGGATTGTGTGATTTCTCCTTGCCACTTACAGTAAAATGTGAGAGGAAAGAAATAGACCTTAAAATGAACCGTGCAAAATGAAAATAGAACTCAAAGATTTGGAAAATTCTGGTGTACGAAGGACATATGTCCTAGAATGTTCACCAAGGATGTGACTACACAATCTTTCATTAAAGAGATTATGCCTGTGACTGTTGTATCTAACCAACTACCACAGCAGAAAACTCATCAGCTTACACTGAAGAGGACAGAGAAAGAATGAAAGGAGAGAATAGCTGTCTACCTCTTGGAACTCTACAGGCAGGAAGCAGGCCAAAAGAGCTACATCTGTTGTCCTCCAAGAAAAGGACAATCCTTGGAGCAGATTGGAGATGAGCAGAACTGTTGGAAGGAGCACAGGAAGCAGGGCCTTCTCAGTTTCAAAGGGTGGGGCCATGGTTTCCTGGGTCTCAAAAGGTGGGGGCCCCAGCGGTTTTAAAGAGTCAAGATCTTCAGATCTCCACTAACTTGGTTATGGAGAATGGAGCTGCTGTTACGGTAGGCCAGAGGGATGGGGCTGCTGCCCAAAGCTGAGAGGGCGTGGCTGTCATGCCCAAGGGGCAGAAAAACAGGGCAGAAGAACTGAGGCCCGCTGGAGTAGAGGGGGTAGGGCTGCCCCTCTAGGAGAGTGAGGCTGCCCAAAGCCAAGGGAGCACAGTTGTTATCCCAGAGGGCCTGGAAGGTAGAGCAGAAGCCCAGGGTGAGGCCATTGCCCAGATGGTCTCAGAGGAGAGAGGACTGTCTTCAAGCCTTGAAAGCTAACGTAATTTGTTCTGCTGGGTTATGGGCTTGCTTGGTGCCTGTTATCCCGCCTTTCCCTCCAGTTTTTCCCATTTGTAATGAAAATGTCTACCCTGTGCCTATTCTACCATTGTACTTTGGAAAGAGGTAACTTGTATTCTAGATGTCACAGGTTCACAGATGAAGAGGAGTTTTGCCCCAAGATGGAATACACCTAAAGCTCACCCATATTTGATTTAGCTGATTCAGAAGATGAGACTTTAGACTTGGAGTTAAGACTTTTGGGATGTTGTGATGGGGTGAATGTGTTTTGCATGTGGCAAGGAAATGAATTTTCTGGGGGAGGCCAAAGGGTGGAATATTATGGATTAAATTGTGTCTCTGAAAATTATGGGCTTAAAGCCTAAAGTCTATGTTCCTGATTATAATCCCATTTGGGAATGAGTTGTCTTTGTTATGTTAATAAGGTTAGTGTAGGGTGTGTCTTAAACAAGTCTCTTCTGAGATATAACAGAGATTAAACAGCTAGCAAAAGCAGCAGAGATGGGGAGAGATGCCAAGCCACATGAAGAGTGCTCAGGAGCAGAAGCTCAGAAGAGACAAGGATCTTCCTCCAGGCTGACAGAAAGAGAAAGCCTTCTCTGAGAGCCGACACCCTGAATTCAGACTTCTAGCCTCCCAAACTGTGAGAAAATAAATTTCTGTGTGTTTAACCCACATACTTGTGGTATTTCTGTTATAGAAGCACTAGATAACTGAGGCAACCTATTATGGTAGTTGAAAGGATGAAATGAAATACGATGGTGATGTGCCCAGTGCAGCACTTGGCACAGAGTGGGGGTCATATAAACCATCGTTATGGCTTAATACTTTCACTACAGATTGGCAAGTCAGGGATAGGCAGCCAGCGCCTTTCTCTTGGATGTGCCAGGCAGTGGGAAAATCCAGGCACGAGGGCTCCTTCAAGCTCGAGGGACCCGGTTCCTCTCCATACTTTCTGTGGGTCTGGACCCCACATTTACGTCCCACCATGGCCTGACTCACCAAGCAGGGTGCCCACACAGGTGACGATGGCAAGCAGGGCCCCAGTGCTGAGCCCAGCAGGTGAGAGCTGCGCCTCGGGCCGGCAGGACGCCACAGAGCCATCCGGCCGACAGCGGCACACGCTGACTGTCACTGTGGCTGTGCTGCTCAGTGCTGGCTGCCCCCAGTCCCACAGTTCTATGGGAACCAGGTAGGGGGCCTGGCGGGGCGGAGCAGGGCGAGAGGGCAGCAGCAGGCTGGCAGAGCCATCTGTAGGAGAGGGAAGATGTTTGGACACCTCCTGGAACACCTTCCTGGTGGGGTCAGTCCAGCCCATGGAGCCAGCTTCCCGTGGGAAGGCCAGGGATGGCTGCTCTTGAAAGAGCAGCAGTGAATGAGTTGGGTGGAAGACGCAGACAAGTGGGGTAGGGGTCAGAGAAGTGGGGCCAGGGGGTGGCAGAGGAGGAGAAGAGGGAGGCAAGCACAGGTGGTTGTACCAAGCCCACCCACCTCGGTTGTCTCGGACAGTGAAGTTGGCATCAGGGCCCAGAGGGCCTTGAAGGGAGACACGGCTGCTGTTGCCAACTTCATCTCTATCCAGGGCTCGAATGATCTGAATCAGCTGCGAGGAAGAAGAGAGGCCTTGTATGGCGTGGGAAGCTGAAGGACTTGAGACTTCAGTCCCTCTGCCTCAGCTGCTCACCTGGCCAGGGGCTGCAGAGTCACACACAAAGGTATCATAGGGCTCAGCCAGCTGGGGGGCATTGTCATTCTCATCCAGGGTCTGGACAGACACTTGTACCTGTGAGGCCTGTGCAGAGCTATCTGAAGACAGAACACAGACACATACAACACACACACACATAATGCATGCACATGGATACCACATGTAGCACACAGCGCATATGTGCATCACAAGAAATAGACATGAAATACACAAGTAGCAAATATTGTTGTAAAATGAATGAACAGTACCAAGTACATACAACATTAAGGTAGTACCCAAGATGTGTGATGCACAATATACAACCACAGGAATGCAGTATCCATATGACATATACATAATAACTCACGTGCAGGGCACATGCAACATAAATGAAAGGTATGCAGAGGGTGCACACAGGTTGCATACAGATAATAGCCATGAAATGTACAAACACATGCGCAACATACATGAAGTGAATGTTCAAAATACACAGTGGGCATAGGTCACACCAGGGCCCAGAGAACGCATTTTTATGCACAAAGGTCATGCCCAACATGGTGGGATGGATACACACATACACACACACACACACCATCAGAGATCTGAGAGGCTGTGGTGTAGCAATGAGATGACTTATAGATGACCTTGGGGAAGGAGGAGCTGTATGATCTATAGGGTACAGAGCCCAAGCCAGGCTGGGCACCAAGGTCAGATACACAGACCCCCCTCTTCATTCATCCCATCATCAGGTGCCTCTTCACTATTACCCTGCCCTGCTCCTCAAAGTCCATGCTGCCTTGCCTATCCCAATGCCCACCTCTCCTAAGCCTGTCAAGTACTTTAGTCTTCCCTCCAGCAGGGGTGAGCTAGTTGGTGCTAGAGAAAGGGGCTAAAAGTCCTAGTCTTGGCAGGGGAGGCTCAAGGGCCTTAGGATTCCCCAGAGATGGAATGGTGATGGGGTCCACTCCTTCTCTGCAGTAAGGGCCCAGGGCCTTCTAGTCATTATCAGAGGGGGCAGGGGAAGGAGTTGGCAAGAGGGTGAGAAGACAGTACAGGGTAACACACACACAGAGCTATGTATACATAAGCAGACATATCCCCACACACACATACTCCTATAGAGAGAGAGAGAGAGAGAGAGAGAAAGAGAGAGAGAGAGAGAGAGTCAAATGGCACTCAACATCCACAATACAGTCTATGAAATGGGACATTATGTGATTTAGACATTATGTGAACATCGTATCGAAGTCTGGCCCTGCTTTTTCTTTAAGTATCTCAAACAAGTGTCTTGCCTTAGCAGTGATCATCAAGGTGCTGACAGGAATTTGCTTTTATGTTTGGTCCTCAATGCACGTCATTAGCAATTTCTCCATATCTGATATAGGTCCCTCTCTCATTTTCATTTGCCTTGTAGCATTCAGTGGAGTCAATCCTTTAACAGCTTGGAGAAGTTTTTCTTTGTTTTTGAGGATAGTCATGATTGTCGAGTGGGACATGCCTAAATTGTGAGCAAGAGCATTCACTGATTGTCCACCTTCATGTTTAAAACCTTTCGTTTCACTTCCAAATTGATACTTCTCCTTTTCCTCTTGCTGGTGTTGTCAGTAGCACTGGTTTTGCTGTGCTTGGGAGCCATGATGCATTTCATGGTAATATTTTCAAAAGAAAATTAAACAGAGAGATAATGTTACAACACTCAAGAGACGGGTGATACATGAGATTGGATGCTGCTGCCTATGAGTCAAAGCACACACTGCTATATGGTAAACTTTTAAAATAGAAAGTACAATACAATACATACATAAGCTAGTAACATAGCTGTTTATTATGACTATCAAGATATATGTATTGTAGGTTATATATGTATTGTACCATTATATGCCTGGCAGTGCAATCAATTTGTGTACAAGAGACCCCAGATATACATGTTATGTGGGGGAAGCTGTTGCATTTGCTACGTCTGCTCTCCTGCTGGAACTTCTGTACTCCATTACAACCTTATGAGACCGTGGATGTATATGTACTCTGACATTGGCCAAATGGATGTTATGTGGTGCATGCCTGTTTTTATATACATACACACACACACAGGGGTATGCATATGCACACACACAACTACACATACACAGGCTCTTATACACATATAATAAAAACCTATACACACACAATAAAACATATATGAGAGGCAGTATGATGTAGGCGACAACTCAGAGGGCAGCCTGACTGGGATTGATGGGTCCACCATTTACTCTTTGTGTGACCTTAGAAAGTTACTTAACTTCTCTTTCCCTGAGTTTCCTCATTTTAAAATGTGGAAATAACAGTACCTACCTCATAAAGTTGTGGTAATGATTAAATGAATTAATCCATATTTGTTGCTTAGACCAGTGCCTGATACACAATGAGTAATCAGTAAATTATTATTATCTTTCTACAACACCCATGGACACAAAATAATATATACAAACAGCAATTTATGCATAACATTATAGACATCCAGTTGTACATATGCACAAATAATACAACTCTACGTAAATACATATATCTAGTTATAGACATACACTCACAAACATATACGTATAGATGTATTTTTTCATGCATATGGAATCACATCCATACTCATGTACACATAGCTCTTCATCCGCATGTACAAACATCTACACACACGACAACGTCCATATACAGTACACAGACAGTAGGGTGAGGGAGACCACTGGCTTCCCCAGGGGACATGAGCAGGAGTGAGGAGGGGATGACTTCACAGAGGGGAGGGAGGTCTCACTGCTGAGCAGACAGAGGGAGCCATTTAGGCCTCCCCCATGGCACCCAAAGGCTGTGGAAGCTGGTGAATGATAAAGCAAAAGAGGAGCCAGCTCCTCTCTCCTTCCTGGGGGGCTCCGCAGCCCAGCTTTCAACACGGTTTCTCAGGGAAGGGCTGTTGGTGCCCTCCCACAGCTGAGGGGTGCCCTCCTACTCAGCCTCCAGAGAAGGTGTCCAGCTCTTCCCTGGCCTCCAACTCCCAGCCTGAAGCTGCAGAGTGGGCAGGGCAGGCTCTGCCAGGACACAGGTTGGTGTTATTCAGAGACTGGATGCTATTTCAGGTTTGCTTTACTTCCAGGCTGGGGCAAGTCAGGTAAGGGGTGAGTTTGGGGTCAGGGAAAATGCTCAGGCAGACCCAGTGTGCTCAGCTCAGCCCAGCTCAGCAGACCAGAAGGTCTGCCTGGTGGTGATGATCTAGGCTTTGGTCCCAGCATCCCCCTCCCCAACTCTCAGGGACAGATCTTCTACCAGGAGGCTACTGCTTCTTCTTTGGCCTCCTGGGGGCCCAGGACTCCTCACCAAGCTCTGTGGCCAGCACAGTGAGGTTGTGCCAGATACGAGCCTCGCGGTCCAGGGACACTGCTGTGCGGATGGTGCCGTCTTCGGGCTCAATGGAGAAGCAATGCTCTAGATCCGAGTGGGGGAGGATGGAGTATCTGGGGAAGATGAAGCCTTGCTGGGTGCTGATCTGGGGGCTGAGCTGGAGTGTGCTGCTACCTTTCCCTCCCTCACTGTGACCTCATGGCTCATCTGGGCAGAGGGCCTGAGCAGAAACTGCACATGCACCCAGAGCCACACTCGGGCTGGAATTCCTTTAAAAGGCAAATATCCCTGGGAGGTCCCAGCATTAAACACTTGTCCTCAGACTCAGGGTGACTGGGTTTCCTTGGGGGTGAACGGGAGATACAGAAAGGAGAGGTGGAAGAAGATGAACACTGTCTGTCTTTCAGACTTCTAGGTACCATTCTGGGGGCCCAGGGACCCATGTCCTGGCCCCTGCAGTGCCTCTGACCCGCTGTGTGACTTTGGGCAAACTATTTAACTTCTCTAGACTAAACCACAAAATGGGAATAACACAGCACCTCCTTCACAGAGCAGTGACAAGGGATGCTGGCTATGAAGTGGAAAGGGTAGCTGCTCAAGACAGATTAGTTGGGGTTTGAATTCCGGTTCTGCCACTTCCTGTGTGATTTCGGGCAAGTTATTTAACTTCCCACAGCCTCACCTCTGAAACAAGTGGTGATGACAACATCTACTTCATAGGGCTGGAGTGGGAACTGAATGTTATCAAGTGGATAAATTGTGTAGCACTTCAGGCATGATCAATAGAGATAGCTATTGCACTTATCAAATGAGATTACATCTGTTTGCACTAGCACTGGGAAGTGCTACTATTATTCATCCAGAGGGATGGGTAGAGAGTCTTGGAAGTGGTTAGCCTGACCGTCCAACCTTCTCCTCGCACCCAGGTCCATGGAGTAGACTCCCACCTACTTGGTCCAAAGGGAGGGAGACCAGAAGGTGTGATTTGCTTTAAAGGGCTCATGCCCTGAAGGAATAAGCCTGAGGCTGGACTCCTGCCCAAGGCCCCACCCTTCCCCAGCCCACAGTCCAACTCACCTGATTGGACTGGCTGGGGAGTCCAGATCCACAGCAGACACCTGGCCCACCAGGGTCCCAGGAGCCTTATTCTCGGGCACTGAAAGGTGGTAGGCAGACTGGGTGAAGGCAGGTGGCTCTGGAGCATCCTGCACAGCCACTCGCACTGAGGCCACGTCCTTGAAGGGGCCTCGGCGTAGGTAGGCTGGATCGATGAGTGTGTTGGTGGCCTCCACGCGGAAGGAGTAGGAGCGACGAGTTTCAAAGTCTAGGGCCTATGGTGAGAGAAGATGGGGAGTGAGAGAGAACATGTGGACACCAGGGCAGGTCCAGGCTTATGGAAGGTGAAGAGGTCCTTCCCTCCACACATCTGGTGCTCAGTCCTCCTGTGAGGAGAGGCAGGCACCAGAGGGGCAGGAGCCTTGGTGGTCAGTCAGGGGGCAGATTACTTAGTAGACAACTCTAGGTCTGCCCCAGCTTCATCCTAGAATCACAATGTGACCTTGAACCAGTCACTTCCCCTTTATGGGTCTCAGGTCCTCTTCTGAAAGATGAGGAGATGACCCTGGTCTCTAAGCTCCTGTCTAAGAGGGTCCTGAGTTTGCTTTAGACCAGTTAGGAAGGTACCCAGTGAGTGGGGCAGGAAGCAGATGTAAGTATTTGCAGAGAGGAGGCTAACCTTGCGGACAGTGAGCAGGCCGTCTCGACCCTGGGAGTCTGTGCTGATGCTGAAAGCCTCGGACCCCTCCCCATCCAGGATGCTGTATGCCATGAGGGCGTTGTCTCCCAGGTCTGGGTCCTGAGCTCGAAGCCGGCCCACCAGGGTACCTGGCCCAGCTGTTTCCACCACAGAGAACTGGTACAGGCCTTGGGGGTAGGTGGAGGGGAGACACATTCTTAGAGAGGTCCCTAGCTCTCCTCCCTACCCCCAGCACTTCCTTCTCCCAGGGCCTGGCCTGGGGTGGGGGTGGGTAGAGAAAGCTTATCCAGAGGCTGTAGTAATGGGCTGGTCAAAAGATAGCTCAAGCAGCAGCACCGGTCCCTTACTCTGAGGGAACTTGGGGGGGTTGTCATTGACATCGCTGAGGGTGACAGTCACTGTAGTGCTGCCCGACAGCCCCCCCATGTGGCCGCCCATGTCCTTGGCCTGGATCACCACTAAAAATTCCTCTTGTGTCTCCCGGTCCATGTTGGGGATGGCGGTGCGTACCACTCCTAGGGAAAGACACTGGATCAGGGCAGGTCTGTTCCCATGGCTGTCTCACCAGGCTCCCCAGCTCTGTCCTCACCAGTCTGGGGGTCCACAGAGAAGAAAGGCAGTCCATCCAGCACGGTGTACACCAGCTTGGCACTGTTCCCATAGCTGGGGTCATCGGCGTCATGAGCAGTCACCTGGATCACTGATGTCCCTGTGGGGGAGGCCGGCACCCACTCAGCAGGGGCAGGCCCAGGTGGGGAAGAATAGCAGATACTGGGGCCCACATATGAGGGAGGCTGAATCAAAGGAGGTGGGTTCTGGGAGTGATGGCAATGAGAGAAGGCAGGTGGAGAACAGGGGTACTCACCAACATTGGACATCTCGGGTACAGTGGCATGGTAGGGCCCAAGAGGAAAGATGGGTGGATTGTCATTGATGTCTTGCACCTTGATGATGAACTCTGATGGGGGCTCCAGGGGTCGGTTGGAGGCTCGGTCCACAGCCTGGGCCAGTAGTACATACTGTGCCTTTTCCTCCCGGTCCAGGCTCTTGGTGACATGGATGTTTCCCGTGGCCTCGTCAATCACAAAGACAGTGCCTGCCCCCTCCCCAGTCAGCAGGTACTTGGTGCGGCCCTCACCCCTGTCCACATCTGAGTGCAGCTGTTGGGGGTCAGGAAAAAATGGCAGATGGCTCCAAGAGCAGGAACAGAGGTTAAAAAGTCTAGGTTTGGGTGAAGTGTTGGGAGTCCTGGGGAACCAAGGTCACTGCAAAAGTGATGAAGTTGTGGGGCAGGGCCTAAGAGCTCAAGAGTTAGGGTAGACATGGGAGGGGATAATCCTTACCTTGCCAATGAGGACGGGCTCTGGACCGGCATACTCCTCAATGACAAAGAACTGGTTCCAGACCCAGCTCCTGCGAGTCCTCAGTAGACCAGGCCCTGGCTCCCTCCGAGACCCTGCCCAGGTCTGGGCTGGGGCTGCCAGGCGCCCCATGCAGCCCCAGCCACCCAGCCAGGCCAGCAGGAGCCTCACTAGGCCCCACATGTTTGGGTTCCAGCCAGGGCTCTGTTCACTGGCCCCAAATGCTGAGGCTGGGCCAGGCTGAGCAGCCCATGAGCTGGCTGGGGTGCAGGGGCTGATGCGGTGGAGCTACCCCATGGATCCACACCTGCAGGACAGGTAGCTGTTCAGGGACAAGGAAACCCTTACCAGCCCCCTAAGTTTAGATCTGAAGAAGACCTCCAAGGAACCAGACACACCACTGTGCAGAACCCAGACGAAAACAGAGCAGACAGTTCAATCCTTCCCTCTAGCCGGGCTCTGCCTACATTCACCTCCAGCCCTCCAAGCTGATAGATTTCCAGTCAGTCAACTCTGAGCAGGGGAGCTGGGGAAGGGAGCTGGAGAAGAAACAGGAGAGGGGATGCTGGGAGGGCTTGGAGCCCCAAATCTGGCTCCTGCCCTCCCAGGTTGGACATACAGCCAAGGGGCTAGAGGAGGTGGGGCTACCAGGGAAAGGACTTAAAATTCAGGGGTTGGGATTAGTGGAGGTGTAGCCTTAAGGGGTCAAGAGGTGCCTGGACCTGGAGGAGAAGACACAGTATGGCCCAGGCTGTGGGAGCCCCCATCTAGAGATGTCAAGGGGTGCAGCCTAAAACAGGGTTGTGAGCCTGTGAAAGAGCCCTGGGAAGAGATGGGGAGGAAAGCCCACTTCACCAGACCCTGCTCCAGCCCACACTGCCCTGCAGTCCTTGAAGGGGGACTGGGCTCACGAGGCAAAGTGAATGCCAGAGCTGGAAGAGGAGAGGGCAGGGTTTCCAGGCAGGTGAAGAGAAGGGCCGGGATGGGGGTGGCACCTAAGACAGACCCCAGAGAAACAGAGTGATTGAGGGTGAGACCAAGACTAAGGGACTGTCTGGCAGAGACAGAGAAAATTGGATGAGAGACAGAGACAGATGGCAGCAAGAGACAGAAGGAAAGAGATCAAAGGAGGCAGGCTGGGAGCCTAAAAGGCAGAAAGGAGTCATAAGTACCAGGCTTGGGAACCGTGACGGGGCAGAGGGGGTTTTCAGCCTGTGAATGATGAGCAGGCAGGGACAGTGGGGCTGGGGGGGGGGGGGGGGAATCTGTGGTAGGGTCTCCTCAGAGACCGATCTGTGGTCCTCCCCTCCCAAATGGCTGTCTTGAATGGACAGCTGGCACTCAGCTCCATTCCTGGGAAGTGCACTCACACCAGCCTAGGGGAGAA